CGTGGAACTCGCCTCTAGAAGGGGAGGTAATGTCACGGACATACTCATGTAAGCTAGTAATTACATATACAAATAGGTAGAAGTAAATAAAAGTAGGTAAAAGTAAGTTAATTCTATAGTATTTAATATGGAAGCTTCCTAGAAGCTTCATAGACGTTTCTTTGACTTCATAGGTGTCTTTAATTGACTTTTTGGATTAGAAACGTGGTCAATAAGTTTGCCATGTGCCACACATGTTGTTAGCTTGAAGATCAAGCTAACTATGTGGCCCACACATAGAAAAACTTGCCTTGTAAGTCAAGGCATGTTTCTTACAAAGTCAACACATATTGGAGGTCCTATAGAATGTCGCCATGTAGCCCCTAGTTAGATAGTATATATAGAAACAAGAGTGAAGCCTTCTTCACTCTTGTCAACTCCTTTCTTGCTTCTAATCTAGTTTCAAGGGTCTCTAATTTTCTTGTCTTTTGGCAATAGCCATTCTAGTTTCTCTTTCAATATATATACTTATTTATTTATATTTTGTTACCTTTCTTTGAATAGAGGCTCACTTGTTTGGATTATTTTTTCATCGAGTTCTTGTCCTTGATAATATGTGCTTATATTATATTTATGTATTTAATTTTACCATTATAGATGTGTTTAATTTAATATTATAGTTGTATTCATCTTAAAAGTCATTAATATCTTACATAATAACAATCAACTCTATAACTTTATTTTTGAAGTTTTTGATCATGTATTCTATATTATACATTTTAACTATTATATATTAAGAACTTATCAACAAAATAGTAATAGTGGTATTTACATACTATTAAATAATTATTTTTGAATCATTTGAAATCAAGCCAATTATATGTTATGTAAAATATTCATTCTCAAGTTTATATTTTCTACTATAGACAATTATTGTATAGTTTAAAACCATAGTTTAGAAAATATTATATATATTATCAATGTGTTGAACATGATAAGAAGTCACCATAAATTCTTTACTAATTGTGGAAAAAAGACCAAATAATAACTACATTCTAATAAGAAAGGATCTTGTATAAATTATGTAATTATGATATCAAAATTTTTAAGTTGATATTATAAAGAAATTTGGTATTTTAAATAGTTATTTTTTAAATAAATATTTAAATAGATATATTTATTAGATAAAATCTATCACAAATTTAATGTTATTCAATGTATGTATTTTATTTTTATATCTAATTATTTGGAATTTGTTTATATGCTTACTTTAGAAATTATAATTTATAACAAATACTTATGTAAAATTATATTTTAAAGCAAAACACATATAATAACTATGAATTTTTACAATCAACTTCAAGAAGCTAAAGTAGATAATGTTCTTTTAAATATACATGATAGATCTGTTAGAATAAAAATAGTTTATTGTGTATAATTATTCATTTTATTTTTTTAGATTCTATATCTATTTTATTTATATATATATATATATATATATATATATATATAAATACATATACAAAAAAATTAAAAATTAATTAAAAATTAATTAAAAATTAATAATTTTACTTATTCTTGGAATAATATAAAATTTAAAATTACAAAATTAAAAATTATTTAATAAATATTTATAGAAACTTAAATTGCATTGATAAAATTATTAATGGTTTTATATTTACTACTTCGGAATATAGTAAGTAGAAAGTTTTTGAAAACCTAAGAGATTTTTTGAATAAATATATTCAAATTATAATATGCTTCTAATATAGCTTCTTAAATCTAAGAAAATTGTATACAAAGTTTCAATACCCACTGACATGTTCTTGTGTTATGTGAAAAATAACTTAAAAAAGTAATAAATATTTAGATGTGGATTTTTTTTATTAATCTTGAGCATCAATTTTTTTCTTTTATAAAAATGGGATGAGGTGTTTAAAAATACCTTTTGTAACAACCTTGATACTCTTAGAAATCTTTAATCTATGAATTTCTAAACCCTTTCAACTCAAAATCTCAAATTCTATTAATTCTTAATATTAGCTCTTATCAATCCTATATGACCTTGAAAAATAAAATGCTGAATAATCTTTAAAGGAACCCTAAATCAAATCTTAAAAACTTGAACAAACTTTAGAAAAATCTTACATAAAATCCTAGAATATTATAAGAATATTTTAATAAATCATAAAAAATCCCTAAAAGAATGTTAAACTAATTCTAATCATAAGAAAATCCTAAATCATTCCTTAATAAACTCTATTAAAACTTTAAAATATTGTACAAAATTTCAATAAAATCCTAACAAAATTCTAAGAATTTTAAACAAATCCTATATTTTAAATACCTACTTCAATGAGCTATAATTCTTGATTTATTCTTAAATAAAATTTAATTTTTTCATATCACTAGATAAATTAGAAGATAATGTAAAATTCCTTCACTAATTATATATGGCTTTTTAATTTGAAATTGAAAAAGAAGACTAATAGCAATATCTTAGAAATTACTTGTTGAAATTTGTTTGAACTTTGTGTGTGGCTTTATTATTTTATCTTCTATTGATATCTCTAAAGCCACTTGATTTAATGTTTTATCCTTTATATTCCTATGAATGAGTATATAACCTCAATTTGTCCTGGTTAGCATCCTCTTGTATAATGATATCAATATCTTGCAATTAAATTGCTAAAATTACACTGAAATTGAGAATTAAATTGCTTGCTTGGAAAAATTGCATCTACAAAGATTCAATTGTAGAACAATCTTATATTTTTAAAATACTAGTAAAAAATCATACTAAAATTTATTGCTTTTCAAATTTCAATATTTATAAACCATGTTTTTTTTATTTATAGAAAAGCCTTCCTTTATCAAAATCTTAAAAATATTACACTTCTAAAAGGCTTTGAAAAGTTTTTTCTTATTTTCACACTTTAATATTCAAAAAAAAAAAAAAAAAAAAACCCTCCATTTGTTGTTGGTGCCCATTTTAATGTGTCAAAGTTTGACTCAATCTTAGTTCACAAATGGTCCTCTTAAGGTATCAAAATCATTTTTTTATGGTATTTTTATTGTATGATATTGCTGTTAATTATAACTGAAAGGTGATTGTATTGATATTAAATCTATTCTATCTTGTGTTGCTCCATTTAAGACCCTACCAAGTATCTAGAAGCTCTTTTCATAATGAGTGTAGAATGAAACATTAAATTTTTATGTACCTTTAATGTATTAGCTATGATTTTGATAGAAAATTTCTCTTAATTTATCTGAAACACTTTTAGACCATATTTGATTATTACAGATTTCATCGTAAATTCGAATTGCAAAATTAAGAGAGAAAGAAAATTTATTTATATTAATCTACATACAATGGTAGGGATTTGGAATAAAAATTGCCACAAACTTTGCCTTCATACACATTTAAATATATAGTATAAAGTGAGAGGAGATCCTCACATAGATTAAATCATTCTTTTATTATAACTCATAATATGACAGCTCAAATCTTAATTGTGAAAATAAAGAAAAATATGAAGTTTAAGGCTCAAATTTTTTTGATGAGTATTTGAACAATTCTGGCACAACTTTTTGAATTTGTATATTACAAATTTCTGAATTTGGCACTAACACAAGTCTTACAAGACAATGCTATTACTGCCATGTAGGAAAAATATTCACTCCACATCAATTGTTCTTCTCATAATTTTTGGTTTGATTTTCTAAGATATATAACTAACTGAGTAAGCCTTCCTGATGATGCATAGAGTGCTTGGCACAGAACAGCCTAGCACTATTCAATGGAGTATAATTTTAAAAACTAATATTTGAGAAACCAGACATGAAGCAGATGCTCCTTGGTCATTTAATTCTGACATGACATGGCAGTATGTAATATGAAAATAAATGATGGTAAATTTGCACTCCCAATAAATACTGATATACAGTTTCAAAAAATTAATCAATCAATTAAATGGCTATTTTTCTTTAAAATCCACAATTGTTTGATATAATAACTCCTCAACATTGTGCTTCAATACATCTCCACAACTGTGGTGAACCTGATATCACACTTCATGTCAGCTATTTTGATATATCTGTCTTCACATTCTACAACACACAAAATTGGTCACCAATTTGATTAAACAAATGAAAGAAATAAACTTTGTGAGCATACTACATAAGCATCAAACTAGTAGGATAATTCTTTTTGCACAATGTGGACCCAAATTAAAAAAAATAAAATAAAACATCTCAAATTCAAAGAATATGTATATTGGTCAAAGTAAACATGATGGATCAAGAGTCCTCCACATGGAAAAATTCACAAAGAAGATGTAAGTTGTTGGAGGGTGGAGGAGGAAGTTTGTCCAAGGAATGGAACAAGGGATGTCATTAGGGTTAAAAGCAAACAAGGGAGCGGTGTAGTGGATAGCAAAATCTCCAAAACCCTTCTTCTCCACTTCAAAAAAACTTCTCTTTCAGGAACTTCCACTTCATGAGACCTTCCAGAGAACTTTCCCCATGTGCCCTAAATTCCAGATTACATTTCTTTTATTTTTATTTTATTTGTTTTTTCTTCCCACAAGCCACTTAACCTGCCACACCAACTATGCAAGAAGAGGAAGAAGAAGAAGCAGGAAACCCATTTGACCCCACTTGGACCACATAGAATTATTTCTTCCAAAGCTGCTTCTTTTCCTGGACCCAATTCCTCCTTGCCCAACACCCACCTAATAATTTAATAATACAAAGACACCTTGACACAACCCCCGCCCCCTCCTTTGCAGGGTGTGCATGTGAAAAGGGGAAGTGCATGACCGGAAGAGTGGGTAATATCCCGGTTACCGGTTTCCGTTTGCCCCTAGCGGCTAAACTTTCCCATCAGGAAGACCGGCCCGGAAGGTGCCCTCGAAGCTCTGCTTGCAGGAACGAAGTCGGTGTTGTGGCAGGAATTTTGCCCCCATCGACTCGTGTTGTTGTTTTATTTTATTATTTTGTTTTCTGTTTTTTTTTTTTTTTTTTTTTTTTTTTTTCTGTGCACGGCAGTTGCATGGTGAGCCTGATGCTTAAGAGGCGAAGGTTTAGTCCTCTGGTGACGAAGGCGAGTTAAAACTGGAAGTTCTGGGTGCGCGCGGCTACGGCCAGGTTTGAAAGAACACGATCAGCTGTAGTTTGGTCAATTGTTGGGTCGGAGTCATTGTGTTGTGTGCAGGTCCTGTCAGCGCGCGGAATGATTTGGCGAAGCTTGCGAATGGAGGCTTTCTGGGTGGGAATTTGCAGTGAGGAGCCAAGGTTTGAGCCCAATTTTCCATAGGGTGGTGGCGTAGGGTACAGCAGGCGAGCGCATGGTTGTGGGTTTGTACATTTAGAGACGGATTCGATTTCTTGGGAGTGATTCTTGCGCACTTATGCGAAGGGCGAGATCAGTGATGTGTTTAGCAAGCGCTACGCCAAGTTTCGTTTTCCAGGATTGTAAATAGGAACTGCCGAGGTTCTTGGATTTCTTGAGTCTGTAGGAAGTTTTTCTCGGATTGGGATGAGAAGGGAGCTTGTGACAGTTCGCAGTAACCTGGTTGATAAAGTACAACGGAACATGCTTGATCCTTGCATTTTCAATGTGGCTGGGTTTGGTTTTAAGTTTGGAATTAAGTCGTTTCGGACAGTGTTGGTTGGTTACGCAATCGTCTAGTTGGACTGAGAGCACCATAACTACGGCAGCGATCGGTGTCTTGTCGTGTTAGAATTTGGGCCGTAACAGGGTTGCAATAATCCGCGGTTTTGCACCCACAAAGACAAAATAGATTTTATGAGGTTTTTGCTGTATTGGTCAGGTTTTGGACAGTGCTCGTCTTCATTTCGTTGATTTGGTTTTTCTTACATCCGATCAGTTATTTTCATGAACCATGACTCTGCTAACAGTTACTTACGCCAATTCTGTAGAAGATTTACAAAGCGAAAGGAGATGAGGCTTGAGAGAGTTGTGCATATTCAGAGTAATACCAATAAATACAGGGTTTAGCAATCGCGAAGATATCGATAGGCCAGTGCATGATCCTGAATTTAACCTACGTCCCGCTGCATTACTAATTAATTCAATGGCATTTCCTTACGTTTTAAGTCTGTGTTTTATCAGGAGAGTGCAACTCTCGGCGGTGTTGGCAGAGGGCTATGGGCTGTTCGTCGCGCGTTCCTGATTTGAAGGGGCGGACAACACCTCCTTTGGTACATAACTCAGCCAGCTGCGGTGTTCTTTGGAATGGGAAGATGGTCGCTGGAGGGTCAGGAGATGCTAGGGCTACGTCGGCGGACTGTCATCATCTTAGTATTCTTTTTTCTCAGCCTTCAAGTCGTAGCTCAAGCTCCGAGCCTGACACCTACCGATTGCCCTCTTAATTTAGATATTCTAGATGTTTTTCCCTCGGTGGCGGAGCAAGTGCGAGCAGTGGATTCTCTGGAGAAGAGGTGCCTGACCCTCACTCATGGCGTGGATGTCCTGCTCTCCGTGTACCTCAAGAATGAAGATTACTTTCTCGTGCCACCAGAGGCTGCCTCCTCATGCATTCAAGCTTTAAATTCATATTTTCAGGTGCCCAACATCACGGGTCTGTGCGGGTTGACCCCAGCGTTCATCTCTCGCGGTACAAACAACTGTCAGGCCATTCAAACACGGGAGGACTTCATCTCCGCTGCTAAAAATAGAGATTCAATCCTAGCTACTTGTAAAAATGGAGTGCTTGCGAATGGAAACACCAAGTCTGCGGGATGTGCCGCTTGCACGAAATCATTGACTCAAGTGGCAAACTCGTTGCGGAGCTCTGGCAATTCCAACGACAACCTGTGCTTGGATTATACCTCTATGTACACGGGGGCCTTTGTTGTGAACGCAGGGCCCTCGGATGTAACCACGTTGGTTTGTTTGTGGGACATCATAGGAGACGATGATGACAAGAAGAAGTTGCAGTGGTGGGTTTATCTCGTCATCAGTGGAGGGGCTATCCTGTTCGCTTTCTCATGCGCTTGGATTGGTTTTCTCCTCCTTCGTCGATGGAGGAGAAAGCATCGTCAGTCTAATGTCGGCAATGAGTTTGCGAGGGTGGCAAAAAGCATGTTGCACGGTTCCATGAAGGAGATTGGCGGGGGTTTGACGTGGTACGACATTGAGGAGCTCCGAGCTGCGACTCACAACTTTGACGTGAAGAGGATCATCGGGCAAGGCGGATTCGGGAATGTGTACAGAGGGGTTCTCCTTGACGGTAGCGAGGTCGCATGTAAGAGGTTCAAGGATTGTACAGCAGCAGGGGACACCAGTTTCCTGCACGAAGTGCAAGCGCTCGCGAGCGTGCGTCACAAGAACCTTGTGGCGCTACGCGGGTGTTGCATTGCGAGCCTCGGGGAGGGCCGCCTCGCAGGCTACCAGCGCATCATCGTGCTGGACTACGTAAAGAACGGCACTTTGCAAGATCATTTGTTCGGCAACATCCACAAAGGCGATGGTAAGAAAAGCTCCTCCCAACCGACTTTGTCGTGGCCACAGCGGCTCAAGATCGCCACAGACGCAGGTCGCGGTGTTCAGTATCTTCACGCGGGCGCGCAGACACAGATACTACACCGCGACATTAAGCCCAGCAACATCTTGTTGGACTCCGACTTCAACGCCATGGTCGCAGATTTCGGCCTGGTCAAATTCACCCCCAATGGAGTCTCCCATATGACGACTGGCGTGGCAGGCTCGTTTGGCTACATCGCCCCGGAGTATGCCATGTACAGTCAGCTGACGGAGAAGAGTGACGTCTACAGCTTCGGCATCGTGATGCTGGAGATCATCAGCGGCCGGAAAGCTATGGTTCCAGACCCAATAACTTCCGAGCTCCTGATCGACTGGGCATGGCGGTTGTTTAAAGAGGGCGACTGGGACTTGATTCTGGACCCACGACTCACGGAGCGCGGCCCTGACGAGGACCTTAAAAGATTCGCCATGGTTGCGTTGTTGTGTGCGCATCCCCAAGTGTTCTACCGCCCCACCATGACAATGGTGCTTCGAATGCTTGAAGGCGCACAACATGTGCCGGCCCTGCCAGATCGCCCCATCCCCGTGACCCTCAGCAAGGCTGCCTTGCAAGCTTCTCTTGCACCTTCTAACATCGGGTCTGGCAGCTATTCATCTAACTTCAGTTCGGCAACTCAAGACTCCATGAGGCAGCCTGTAAAGTAGGTACTATTTTGGTAGATTGTGGAGATAGCAAATTTGGCACTTTGAGAGCATGTTTACGATGTATTCAAATCACTTTCATGAGTTTTCGAGTTTAGATCATATGGGTCATCGCAGGAGCAAGATGTCCTTTGTATAATCACCTTTGTATAATCATCATCGCTTGTTGCACAATCGTTGCAATTCAAAGCCTTTCATGGACACTGCAATCTGTGTCTTTCTTGACGATGACAGTCTTGGACCGATGTCCTTTGAATTTCCACTTATCGGGCTCGGCCCGAACATGCTTGTGTTGTGGGTTTTCTGTTCTTCAAATGCCTGAACATGTTCAAAACTCATGTACCACAGTACATGAAAGGGGGGGAGGGGACTAAATTGTTTTCTATTAGTCTTGTTTTTGTGGCGTGGTATCAAAGTAGGGGAAATATGTGTCTTTGAGCACACAAGTAGTTCTTTTTTTACTTCAATTTATCTCTCGTTTTGGAGAGATATCTTTCTTTGACTTCACGTAATATTATTCTGCTTTGGAGACATCTTTTGTGAAAAGAAATTAACATTCTAGTTAAAATTGAAACAAAATTTTGACCAGTGTTAGAACTTGTTTATGTCCTTTCTTAGACTCCAATTTTCTTTTGCATATAACCATTCATTCACAATTTTAGAATATTTGGGAACCCGCAAATGTTTTTCAAACCCAAATTTTACTATCAAAGTTCATCACAGTAGTGTTTTTGAGTTTACATTCAATTGACATTCCGATTGGCTGCTGAATACACAAATCTTACTGAGAAAGTCATATCCATTCTCACTTGAACATAACTATACTTTTCAGCGTTATACCTGGACAAACTTACAAGATATTAATGTTCGTTTTAATGTCTGAACCATATAAGCTTTCGAATATTTGAAACAAGAAGCATTTTATTTGCCTCCTATATCATCCAAGTCAGAGAATGATCTTGAACAGAATTCCAGCAATTTGAACTAAAGATTTATACATGGATTTAGTAAAATTGTTGGTAACCAGGTTTCTCTAGTATCCGAATCTCTAAGTGATTGAAAGAGGCACCTCCTTCAAAACTGAATTCGAAAAAGAGATACCACTGGAAATAAGTAAGGCATAATTTGATTCTTTCCTGCTATTATTTTCGACACGAAGTCAAATGGAGAGAAGACTAACAATATAACAAGTAATAATAAAACAATAAGAATAACAAGTAACTGCATCTTTGTCTGCTGTACATATATCTATTTGAAGGGCACATCAGAGCACTTGCAAGCTCTCGGAAACGATTCCAGTGAACCCTGAGATAATTTATAAATATTCTACAAATATTCCAGCTGTGGGGTAAGGTAGAGGGTTGAGGCAAAACTAAACAGATCAGGTTACGCTTATCAGTCAATATGTGTGTTCTTCTTGCCAACAAATAAACGAGAGATCTGGAGGCCTCGGCTGAAAGCCTCATTGTAAAGGATGCGGGTCTGCATTGCCTGGAATCCAGGCAACCAGGAAAGAAAAGCAACAGGAGCCATTATAATCATGCCCATTCCTAGATCATATAGGCGTGCAACAGCAGTGATAGTTCCCCATACTTTTGAATTTTCCAAAAACGGACGCCGCAACACGAGACAGATCTGGAGGATGCCCCAGCCTGTGGGCAAGAAAGCAAGAAAACTTGCAAGAATGTCGAGGAATGTGAAATTAGTCCGAGTTGCGAGCACAATCACAATAGCCGCAACGACGGCTATCGTCACAGTTTGAATTAAACGGTAACGACCGTGCTTGTTGGCGGCATATCGATCGCTTGCATTCGAGATAACGAGGTGGAGCAAGATAGCAGCGAGCATGTAACTCCAAGACAAGAGATAGACGAAGACACTTGTACTGTTGCCTGTGATCTGCAGATGATAAACAATGCCGTACTGGAAAAGGAAGAGCCGCAAATCCAGTACAATATCCAGCAATTTACCCCACAATCCGGTAGTTTTCAAATGCGTCTGTTCGCCCTCCCACCATATTTCCCAACTTTGCTCCGGTTTAACAAAGATGTCTCCTTTGAACCATATCCACTGCAAGAATTCATCAAAATCTTCCACTGTCTTCAGCCAATCGAACCCCGAAGGATTGAAAATGAAAGGCGCCATTATCCACGTGAAAGCCAGAAACCAGCTAGATATCATGACCAACATGTAAGTGGCAGACGAACTGACGACCCCATACGCCAGATAGCAGAATAGAAGCATCAGAAGCTCAATGCCTTTGGTGAAGTGGCTCCTTGAATACAGCCGGTAAATCTCAGCAAACTTTTCGTGCTTAACCACGAATGTACGACCGGTTGCCCTATACTGCAAGCACAGACGAGGAGAAATAATGAATCATATTCCATGGAAACTTGTTGTCATCATTATTAATAAAAAAAGCATCAACACATCAGGAGTAGATGCGCATTTTTTTCCTTTTCACTCTGGAATTGAAGATCTTTGAATGTGAGACATTAAAGGAAATGAGAGTTGAGTCCAAATACTGCTAGCAACGGATAGACATGCAATGACAAACTCTAAAAACGTCTTCACTAAATATTTTAGAGTTTCTTATTTCAGATGATCCTAAGTCATCATCCATATCTCTACCGACTAGAATACTTTCATGTTGTTCCGTTAGTTATGTGTATGCTCACTGTAGTGTTTGATTCTCGACCCCACCTATGGTTGAAAACATACTTCGTAAAGTTTGACTAGCGAAATAATAAAATTAACGACCAAACTTCATTTAGACATAAGATTAAAAGCAGAACACAAATAGAAGGAATTCAGGCATACCTTAGCACCACCATGCAGAAGTGTGCGTCCAAAATAGTGACTCCGTGTTCCCATCTCGAAGGTAAAGAATAGGGAAGCCAACTGAAGTTGCATTGTAATCATATTCCACAAAGCTGTAGTGAATCCGTGCTCTAAAGCATATTCCACAAGCATGGGTAGAGCAGTCAGCAAACCCAACTGGACAACAAGCTGCTGGTTTAAAGTGGCTGTCAGTGCCGCATTCGAGAGAGCGTTCGATCCAGTTGTTAATGATTTTTCTATGCCACTCAAGGCCAAGTACACACGGCCCCAAAGAAAGACAAAAACAGTCAATACAATTATCAAGTTGTTCACAAAAAACCCAACCGTGGTGTAGTAGAAAGAAAACATTCGAAAGAAATCTAGATGATGACCAAGACGGTAAACATCACGGCTCAGCATCTGCTCCCCGTTCCCGCTGGCCACTTTGGCTTCGAACATGGCAATCTGATTCAATCCAACGTCCCGACCCTTACCAGCCTGCACAAATATCAGCAAGATGCGAAGGTTGGAATTATGTGCTCATATGCAACTAAATCCGATTCAAATGCCCATTCAGAACTTCAAGATCATCATTTGAAGCTAACAAAATTCCCACTACCACTGTCATGGGTACGATGATCCTTCAGCCATATCTTGGACTTGAACTACTAAGAGGCAAGAATGCCCAAATAACTTTGCTGCTACAGTACTAAGAGCACCAGTCAGACCATAAGCCTAGACGTTCCTAAAAGGAAGACATATTATAAATGTATTCTACTTAGACATGAACCAGAACCCTGAAACCTAAAGCCTGGCACACAGTTACAACCATCCAAACCTTCGGCGTGATAAATTAGATGGTTCGACATCGACATTACCTGAATATACTCGTGATGAGTGACGGTACCACCACGAAGAGTACAATTGAAGCCTGCGAAGATGTCCTCACTGATATTGATCGATCGGGATGCCTTGCTGATCCCACCTCGGCCCAAGAACCACAGTCGATCAAATACATCAGGATGTCCATAATGCATCCGGATTTTGAGAGGATTTGCATAAACGCGTTGGTTGAGGGTGACAAATACTGTTTCTTGAGCAGACATGAACCATGCTAAGGATGAAACGGATCCCGTGAAGACATGCTCTCTTACACCTAAAATCGTGGGCTTTCGGATTCCACGAAAGCGATTAAACTCTTCAAGTAGGTTTCTCATCTTCATGGCTTCCTCAAAGTACATTTCCTGCAAACAGCTTGGAAAATCATTCTCGTATCTTTATTCAGAAAGTGGTTCCTTCCTATTGACAATGACCAGACTTCCATATCATTGACATGGAGGACAAAATCTCCTAAAAGATACTTGAGCTCTGAACTATAATAAATAAGTAAAGGGTAACCAGGAAAACGAGGGCATTTCTTGAGCGATAAATATTCCTACATGATATGCCGTTGGCAATCAACGTCCACCTGAATATCTCCCTCGAAAGTATTCTGAAGTACTTGTGCAATGTACCCTGAAACTTTCATGTCAAAGATGCAAGTGAAAAGAGCATTTGATGAGATTAATTCTTCAAGATTATATGCTGCAGTTCCTCATGTAGAAAAGTGGCATACCTGGTTCATATCTATCGTTTGCACTCCATCACCTCTTGTGAAAATCAGGGCATGATTCTGATTTTCAGGTTTCCCTTCTCCCAGCTTCAGTGGTCCAGGTAACTGTATCCTGTAGATTTCTACCTCTCTTTTCAGAACTTTGTCATACTTGACAAGAACAGAATAGTACTTGTTGCCCTTTTCCTCCTTAATTTCATCCACGTAAGCAATTCGTAGGCCCGTGTGGTACGTTTTCATGAGACGTAATATATCCGCTGCCTTATAGTCATTGGTTTTTTTCTGATTTCCGTAAATTTGACAGGTCACAACGTATGTGAACTTCATACCAGCGGCTGCAAGATTTTGTAGCTGCTTGTTTTTTCGATTTTCGCGTTCTTCATATGCATGCTCAGAACGAAAAGATCCCCTTCTATTCGGACTACTGCCTGCGTCCAAAAGTTCTTTGATTCCCTGCATTTCAGTATCCGTGGCTGTGTCTAAAAAGGCCTGTACTTGAAGTGCCCTGCAGAGAAAGCGGAATTTGTGGTTCAACTGACATTGACAAAGTCCAAATAGTGGTAGTATAACAAACAGAAACCGAAGACTGGAAGACCCGAGACAAAGATAGTTCGTAAATGGCTGCGGACTACGACCTGCAGTGTATAAATCTTGGTTCAGGAGAACCTATGATTGAATGTTATCAAAGAAGTAATGAAATTTAAGGATGGTGAAAAAGCCGCACCGTTCATAATACATCATTCCCCGCACGGTACGTGCAAGCGTCTGCCCTCTATAAGAAGCCCAAAGACGTAGTTCGATAGCATCATCCGTATCCCATAAATTAAGCTCTAACAAGCCCTTTTTCTTCATGCGCTCCAGAAAGTTCAACCAATCCTCTGAAAACCAGCATGCAAAAGTAGTCACAGATCTTCATCTAGACAGTTTACAAGTCGAATGTTCATTGAGATAGATACAAATATCCATACGATCGAAGAATTTGATGTTTGCCCCTAGTTGGAAATCGAAAGAGTAAATCTTTGTAATTTATTACTATGTTTCACACCAGATCATCTTTTACATTTCGGCCTATTCTATACTCGAATAAAAAACTCGATTTTTCCATCAGAGAAATAGTGGTAAAGATTCTTCAATATAGCACATTGAAACTGTGCTAGTTGACACGTTAAAAGTAGTTAGATACCTGGGAAAATCCTTTGCAGGTAAAATAAAATCGTTATACCATCCTCATTCTCTTCTTTCAACTGCTTTGAACTGAAGATAACTTCCTCAGTGTAGTAAGGTGTCAAAACGCTGAACGCCAACATTCGATCCACCTACACAAGGTAGCATAAAACATTCATAGCATGTGAGTAGAGGAAGACATCCCAGCAAGAAAGATGTGAACATGAGTTTTGCTTGAAATACATTCTGCAAATAAGTTCAAATTAACAGAGACTGCGATTGGATTCAATTTTTCAGCTGAGCGCAAAGGGCTCAAGTAAAGACCTCAAACTCTATCTGACCTCAGATCTTATGAGAAAGATCCACTACGTCATCGATAAATACACATTGGCACCTAAGATGAAAAGCGCACTGACAGTGAATGTGACATTCGGGAGACTAAAGACGAAAGAGAGACTATTGACATTGAAAATAACCTGTGGCGCTCGCGGCATGGTCATGAAGAGGGAATTGCTGAAGAAAGATATGCGTCGCCGAGCCTCTAATCCCTTGGGCACGTTAAGAAAAGGTTCCCTCGTGCTCAATGTTGTGTGTATTCTCGACAGGTGCTTGAAAAACGGCGCATCGTCATCACTTGGAAGTGTCACAGCGTTCATAAAAAGCTCCGTGTCTTTGTTGGTTGCAGTAGATAAATGTTGCCCTCTAATGATCTCCTTCACACTAGAGTCCCTTATAAAGTCCTCCACTACGTCCTCGTACAAGTTTTGTAAGGCATCCACAACCTAGAAAGTCATGAAATTCGGTCAAGGAAAGAAAAGCTACTCTTTAAGATTGGCACTCTGTGAGGATAATGAAAACATGATGGCATAGGTACAGCTTCAGTTTCTGACAGTTGCTCTTAAGAGAATGACAAGCGTTTAAAAGTAATATGTATCAACACTTGATTTCTCTAACACCAGACACGGGCTAAGGTGCTCAACCATATTTCAATAGGTGATCAATAAGTTGATAATTAAGCTTGCAGGGTATAATAGGCAGAAAAATCATAATTAGGGATTCCATTTTAAGCAGCATTCGTGCCAGTAAAGAGTGTACCTTACGAATATTCCCTCCAGTTGGCTTAGTCATTAGTACTGCAATCAGCTTCACTACCCGGTCATGGACGATTAAGATTTTCTGGAGAACAAAAGAAGTTGTAAATCTGTCATGAGCTATGGATGCATCTATCTCTTTGAAAACGCTTTCGATAATCTTGTGCTCCTGTGAGTCAACCTTGAGAAGCCTACGTAATAGTATATGCTTGATGCTTTCATAGCACTCTGTGACTGCACATCTTCGATACTCATGCTTACTAATTATACCCCATAGCTTTGTATCATCTCCCTTGAAGTACTGGACTTCATTAGTTAAAACTTGGAGGATCTGCAAGAAAGGTTATGACGTTATGAGATGTTGAATTCCATTTGCTCAATCATAAAATACTCATACTGAGACAGGTCCTGAGGCTGAGGTTTGCCTTCTGAAACTGCTCAAGGAAAATTCAAGCAAAATCTAGAATTTAGAGGACAAGAATTTCCACCCGCTAAATACAAGTGGTCAATAACAGCTTAGTGCAGAATTGATTTAAAAAAAATCGAGGTTACAATCTTAAGCCAGCAGGTTAAATGGAGTAGTGATTATTTCTATAATAAATCATTCAGACATGTACATATAGCTGTATACTACAAAACTCAAGCAATAGAATCAGCTAGTAGAATATCATGATGCAAACCTGATTAGCTAACAGAGCAGAAGGCCACAAGAAAACTGATAGCCTCCAAGCTCCGGACGGAATTTCTAAAAGCTCCAGTTCCCTGCATTCACTCTCATAATATAAGGAAAAATCAAGTGTGATCGAAAGCATCATCATTAACTTTCAATAATTTCATAAAAGTCCTTATACATTTAGTACATCATCAAGTAGCATAATAGATTCCGATCGTGGTTACACTTAAGTATACAATGGTATTACGCAGAATCATTCAATTATAGAAACTGCCTTTAATTCAGACTGAAGCAGAAATTAAAAAAATTCAATGTATTCCATTAAGAACGGGTGATTCTGGTAAGAAATTTTCAAATGTAGGAAAAGAGACACAACCTGTCACTAATGAGGTCCTCATCACGAAAAGTATTCACGATTAAGTTCCATACATGAGCAAATTGAACCCCTTCGCGTTGACCCCATTCCACCTGTCAGGTGGGAGAAACATCAACATATTACTCATTAAGAATTTTCTGCAAGGAACACTACGATTTCATCTACCTATTGCAACGCTGACATTCGCAAGAAAGATAAGCTAGAATCGGCAAATACATACCTTTTCATGTATAGCAGACCATCCATATCTAAGCCTAAATCGCTCGACCAGGTCCTTGGCATTTTCCCACAAACTGTTTCAACGAAGGTATAAACATCAGCACTTTTCCACTCACACTCGAAGGCCAAATTAATCTAAGAAACAGTGCTAGCATGGACTTGGATCTTGATCCATGTACATGAATTGAGTTATTTCTCAATGATCTTCATGATAGACTTTGACCGACGACGATATACTACTTCACTCACTAAAAACAGCACAAAACAAGACATCAGAGCATAAGTCAACCAGAGAAGTTCAGAAACCAGCAATTAGACACTTTACATGCAGGTTTTCAGCTTCCTCCAAATGTATCGAAGTGACACGAAACCATCAATAGACACCATCACGTTAACAAGAAATTTTTCATACAAGTGATAACCAAAAGGTTGTCCTGAATGAACCGGTTTCACAATCAATTATGCGATGAGGAAGGGCCTTACGTTGTGTGTTGCAGTTGTTTCGGTGGCATGAGATTGAATTCGAATGCAGATGGAAAAATCTTGAATCGCAACCTCAGTTGATGAACGTTACGAATCTGATCAATCAAAAGACCAAATTTACTGCCACATGTCTCGTGCTGAAGCACACATCTTCGTTGAAATTTATTTACATTTAAACTGTTCGTGTAAAGTTCTGTATTCCAAAGTTCCCAAGAATTGTAGACCACGGCCATGTTTTGAGCGTTTGTCAAATTCAGGACCCAACGACCGACTCATTACTTGAACTTCATGAATGAAATTCAGTCAATTTCTTTGGTAATGATAAGGCTGAAAATGAAAATTACTTCTCCGAGATGTTGAAGAAGACCTACAAAAGCCCCAACGCCAGACGACCATATGGAATACCAGATTTGAACGTCCATAAAGTAAATCTTTTCCAATACATCCAAATCACAACTTCAGTAAATCAAAAGACCAAAGCAGCTTTTCTAAGATATCACCTGCAATCGAGTTCCAAAACTGCCACTGTGTGTATATGACATTAAAATGAAAAGGAAGTAATCTTCTCGAGAAAACCTCACGGCCATTGTACAGGATGACAGTGTTTGACTTTAAAATGAGATTAGATTTCAGTTCACATCAACTCACCAGAAGTACTGGGGCCCATAATACAACTATCGCTGCTCGACTACCTGCAAATTGATATTCATTTATAAGTTAAATCTATTTTTAATATATATACATTCACAAACACACACACACACACACAACTCTGCAAAATGCAACATCCGACATAAGAACAGCCAATTGAGGTTGATAAAAATGATGCATCAGCATTAAACTCCATTGAAACTCAAATCCATGAAAGGTATTACTCCGCTCTTCTGGAAGATGAACGATGGAAAAAAGAAGATCACAATAAAGCTGATATATACCATTTGGGAAAAATTCGTGCCACTTATATGTGATATTTTTGGTCCGGAGGATTTGCTTGGTTGGTGCAATTAAAGGCCTGATCTGTACACCGCCTCAGGGGGATGATAGAAGTGAGATTATGAATGAAAAGAAAAGGATCTCACAAATAGATTACTCAAAACACATTGACTGTACTTTCATAACAATAGTATACCAAGTACAATTACTGCAGTACATCAACCTTCGATAGAAAAACAGGGCTAATGTCAGCAAACCCAAAAATACCTGAAGCCAATAGCTGAAAGCACATTTAGATGCCAGGACAGAGAGCCAAAACAAAGCATATCTGGCACCAATCAATAATCATGTTAGAAGTATGATCTACATTGAATCTGACAATGACTGCTGTAGATAGAAAGTACCAGAAGTGGCCGATGACTAGAGCTTCTGCTGGAGAACGTATGTCTGTGCAAATTTAAGAATTGATCTTCAAATATCAGGACTGCAGGGTTTTCTCCTCACACGGTACATTGAGTAAATTGTAGAGATCACAAATTAGAAGCAATGTGCGGATGTAACTTCATAGTGTGTAGATACTCACTTCAAATTATCCATCACTCCTTCACGAAGACCTCGGCCAACAAACTGACGAGTCTGCTCACACAACAACGAAAAATGTGAAGATTTTCCAACCTTCTCGATCTACTGAGAGAATCTTGGGAGATCAAGTCTTCGAAATTCATTGGGAAGCCGAGTTCACTCACAATTGTACCATCCATTGATTATGATAAAATGAATTACCCCGGCTTGTATGACTATTAGGTCAAAACCTGCGACTAATTCGAACAAAAACACTACATTTGAAACTTTCAGCCACTCATCTTATATCAATTAGGACATTTTTCAATTTGGACGTAAACAGCAAGACATACCAAGGGACAGCAAATCCAGGTATGATGACTGCAATGGCATGCACGTACCTGAAACCACCAAGTCAGAGCATGAAAAATCCTCCAGTTTGAGTTCTCGACAAAATTGCGAAGCCAGGGCAAAATGAAGAGCACAAGAGCTAGAACCTCTGGAACAATGAAGGCTGCAGCTATGTATAAGTATTCATGCAGTCTATCATTGGCATAACCCGACCAATACTGATCGATGTTTCTTTGCCACCACATCCTTCTGCTCACACAAACAGAATTATATGAGTAAATCATATGTAAACGTGGGTCATATATCATACTGTCAAATAACAAAGACACAGAACATCAACGAAACCATGTATTCACCAAGATCATTTAATCAACCAGAAAATGGAAAAACGGCTTGTGATGTGTATTTACTAACAAGGTCAAATCAAACTTGATATCATAATCGTTAAAATGTAGGATAGCCTCCAATTCTATACAAAACTGAAAAAGGCTACTACGGACCTGTAGTAAATAATGAAAAGGATTGCCCAAACAGCGGCCACCAATGGCTTTAGGATCATACGAATTCCAGTGAAAACTGTTTCTTTGGATACAAGACTGTATTGGCTCCCAATATCAAGTAAACCTGCACAAGATATTACAATAAAGTAGACAAGGACAAATTCCGTGTGAATTCAACTGTCTTGTTATCAATTCCCATGACATGGGGTGGCCTCTACATCAACACTACAATTGAAAAAGAAAATAAAAAGATCGTGGAATACTAGAAATACTGTTAGGAAGTAAAAACGAACCCATATTTTTTGAAAAAAAATAAAGGTAGGTACAATTATAATAATATAATTAATATCAATAAAACAAAACAAAACAAAAAGCATACAGAAAGACACAGATGACAACCTGTACCAAATGCCAATCTATCGAACTGCGCAGTTGGACAAGCACAAAGTCACGTACCTTGTAGAACTCGCAACAATGACCAGGTGATAAAAATGCTCAGAAAACGTGCCAAAGGATCCGGCTTTTGCAATTCAATCCAGGGTGGACCGCCGTTGTGCCACAATGTTACAACGGACGCCTGATAGTAATAGAGAACAAGAGTCTTAATTACATCATATTCACCTGTCTTTTGACAGTTTAACCATGAGTGAAGATAAATCGGTACATCAGGAGCTACATTTCACATAAGATTTCGTAGAAATGAGGACGCAAGCTGCATGTTAATTTCTACAACAATATTTCCATAGTGTAGTCTGCGACACATATAACAGAGCGCCAAACGGTCTACAATCAAGCGATTATGTCAAAAACATGGGCATGGTCACTTCGGGTTTCTATGCATCACTCCGGTGATATGGTTCTGAAATCGCAATCGTGGCATGAGAAAGCAAGTCTGTACCCAGGACATACCTGAAGGACCAGAATATGCGCTACCCATATGCGATCAAAGCTGCGAAAGATGTACCAAAATGAGCGTTGTTCAACGAAACCAGTCTTCCCCACCTTGTGATCTTGGTCTTTTGTCCCGCGATTCTAGAACAACATTCTCTCCTTTTAGATCGTATCTTTGACAAAAAAACTTTCTAGAATGTAATTATTTAGATACAGGAAAACCAGATTCCATACACCACATCAGAAATAAGTTCAACTTCCCCAAGCTGAGCCCGTCAAATTTTAGGATTCAATTTTAAAACCAAATTCAGAGTGTAACCAGAGATAGACCAGTGAAAACAAGATACCTTGAAATTGGATCCCAATTACTTAAAGTAGTACAAGTGAAGAAATAATTACAATACACCAGTAAAATATGCCGCGGCCCACTTAAACGAAAAACTAACATTCTCTTCACAATAGAATCAGGTTAACTTAAGTCAGCCTTTTACACCAGAACGTGCAAATTGTAGGCAAGGTACAGGGCAGGAGACTTACAAGATACCCTCGTTCTCTTAATGGCTTTATGAGATAGCTGCAACTTTCATAATTGACACGTTGGTTGTAAGGAATATCTTCGTTCATTTTTGGGTTTAACGAGAATGGCCATCGCAGTTGCTCAAAACAACGAGAGCTCCTACATGCAATTTCGTGAGCATGAGAACCTTTACATGTTCTTCCAAGAAACCCAAACAAAGTCATGTCCTGGATTTTAAGAAGCATTATTGACCATGCTGTTACCCATCCTATTTGTAACAGCTGGTATGATCTTAGTAACTAGCAATACATTCCATTTCGCAGCGTTAGAATTTACCAAAAATATTCATTCATGTCATCATAGTTCCTCCATGATGAGTGAGGAGCTGCACCACCATTATTAGAATCTGCCTCCTGCATAAACACAGAAAACTCTAGCTACAGGTTCAGCAACACATTCAACCCAATATCCAACAAAATTCATTTCCTGACAATAATATTATCTTTCCTTAAGAGACTGGCCGCCGTGGCAAGACCTAGATGAGCTCTAGCCACGCTTTCTTAGTCTTACAGAGTGGAGACGGAACCTCGACACATGACATCCTGATATTCATCATCATAAATTTCACCTTAGTATACTGATCAAGAAATAAAAAATATACGACGAAATTCCTTGTGCAAGGATACTTCACACGAATACATCAACCTTGGCAACCATAAAGTAAGCACGGCATACCAGAAACACAAAGAATGGAGATCTTACCGCTTTGACAACTTCGTATATTGGAACAATAATGTTATTAAGAAAACCATTCGGTCCTGCGTAAGTAGGAATTTCTCCTTGTAACTCAACATTGTCTGTAAATCCGTCTATAGCCTTATTCAACTCCTGGAGCATCTGCACAACAAATATAGCGGCCATGTTCAAGTCGTTATTACCGTCAGAAGTTGTGAGGCTATTAGATTTCGAGGTCGCTTGTGAGTTGAAAATGTGTTCAAGGCTCCCAGAACCCCCGATTTTCAAGACGATCCCATTCAAGACGCATTACCATCAAGATATGCACTATGAAAATCCGTTGAAATACAGGTATGGTAATCTATTACAAAAGTTCAGTTTGAAATTATCTAACAACCTAATATTTAATTTAAGATTTAATGTTTGCACAGATACTTCCTGTGAAAGTAATCACCACACCAACATGAAATTATATATTCTCCTTCAAAACTTAATTTTCGGCTCCCTTCTTGCCTGGCAGAAAGACCAGTCTTGATGGTAATGCGCAACTGTACTTATATTCTGCAAGCCTATTGGCAGCGTACTTCACACTAGACTTTCACAGAGTGAGTTGGAGGAATTTCTGCTCAGTGAAGGTTTCTTAACAGAGAACACCAAATGAAGCAACCAAAAACTTCCTAGAATGTCGTTTCACGATAAGTAAAGAATTTTTACATTGTCATATATGAAGCAGAGACACTCCGGCATAAACCTTAAATTGGCTGCCTCTCCCCAAATCAAGAGAAATAAACATGTATACATCAAATCGTGCCACTGTGGCTCGCGTTCACTCGGTCCTCCTCTTCTTTCCACAAGCCTAAGAAATCAAAAACACAACCTTTCAATGGTCAAGTAGTAGGTCTTCGATCTGCTCGTTTTTAAGAGTTCGGGATGAAAAAGACCCGAAAATCTACAAATTTCCGATGTACATTCTCAAAGAGATACCTGAAGAACAGAACTAAAGAAAGGCTAGCCTAAATAGTACAGAACTACCTTCCTCGGTAACAATAAAATATCATTTACAGATTTTGAACCTAAAAATAGCCCTAACACAGTCTACCTTCAAGTACGAGAATCATTACAGAAAGTCAACCCAGAACTCAAAGAGAAGCACTCTTTCGTAAAAAGTGTCTACTCCATATTCAGAACAAAACAATGAAGAGCATATTGTGTATTAATGTCAAATGCAGGGACCTTATCGAGAGAGCATTACACAAGATCTGAAACGGATCGTGGTGACCCTACAAGTATCCAGCATATGTTTGGTCGAAAATTGAATCTTGCGATAGAGAACCCAACAAACCAGTAGCTTGCAGCCATGAAAAGAAATGAAAAAGAATTTACTTTATCAGATTATTTTTGCAGCCGATAAACTTGCACCATTTGACGTAGTTTCCTGTAACCTTCTTTCTAATCATCTTCACAACACTTGTTTCCAACTGCAAGACCCAACCAGAAGTATAAAAATATTTGCAGCCACTATGACTGTAGAATCAATAATGCCCCAGAAGTCGGTCTATGGACGATTACCGACTTAAAAGTGGTCACATGATGTAGGACCACTTGAGAAGTCCGCTGGTCCAACAACTTTAGCTGTGTGCTCAATCCAGTAATAAATCACAATACAATACGTCTAGAATAACGAATAACACTATCAGAATCGGATGCATCTGCTCTCTATTTGAATCTCAAATCAATGAAAAGATAACCCAGTAGTGTTTGCGGTGTTATACCGTGTCCAAAGGCATCGATGGGGATGGAAACAGGTGCATCATTCCATTGGCGAGAAGCAAAACGAGGTGTTCTCGTTGATTTCTCACATTATCTTCCTATACAGATGTAGCAAAAATCACCAGAATAAATTATACATATTCAATTCAGCTTTAGTTGGATTACTAATTCAAACAGTCAATCGGACATCAGAAAACCATATTCCATAGACAAGTCTAGGCATCTCTGGATCTTATGTTGTAATACATGCAATCTGTGATGTGCTAAACTTGAAAAGTTCAAATGATGATCGATTCCAAGTGCGAAACCCGGACTAACGCCTGCTCCATCATTATCTTGTTGAATCTTCAGGAAGTTTTCACAGAATTGACTTCATAAAGGACGCAATCTACTAAATCGCATTTAGGACCGTGTGGACCACATAGTACTGAGCCTCATTGTCAACTACTTGAGGGTGAAAGACCAACCTGAAAGCCGAAGAATCCACCAAGCCAATCTAGCATATCCGATTCAGGGGTCCACCTCCTTAAATCCGGTGGGACAGGTAGTCTATCAACTTCCTGCAAAGCACGCATTGCTGCCTTTACCTGTAAAACCATAGAAGTGTTCCAAATTTGGAGAGTTAAAGTTTCGCGGAGTATTCACGCTGAAACTGCAGACCCTAGTACGATACAAAACCCAGCTATATTTTATGCTTAAAATGATCGAAGTATATCAAACTGCAGAGACAAAAACCCCTGCGAACCTCACTGCACATGGAAAAGACCTCCAGCTGAATCCCCTAACTATGCTGCCAGTGTATGACAGTAAGAGGTGCTTTTGACTTGAATAAAATTTTACTTAACACAATAGCAGACCTTTGAGAAGAAAAAAAAAAAAAAAAAAAAAAAAAAAACTTAGCGTTTTGGCAACGGAATGACACAGGAGGAGACGAAACCTTGCTGCGGAATTTATGAGGCAATACAAAAATTCTCAGACATCTGAAGTATATTACATTTACATTCAACACAGCAGCCGTGCGTGCACAAATATCTGCAAATTGCTAACACACAGATAGGACAGAGGGAAGCGGAAAAAGGTCATAGCACCTCTGGAAACATCATCCCGGCATGATCGACTGCGTGTGGATCGTCCACTGGCAGAATATTGTAAACACGGTCCGCCATCTTGCATGTCTTGGAAATAAACCCAAGACTTCAGATTCCAACCGACTCTAGAAACGTATTTCTTCAAGGTCATGATTTCAGAACCAAACGGCGAATGCAGACGTCATCGAGTGCAATCATCGTATCACCAGCTAGAGTATGATCGGATAATATGAATTGTTGCGTCAACGCCTTGGAGTTACCCTGGTTCAGACCTCGTAATTCTTCCCCACTTCTGTGTCTAGTTATGCTGATGAAGCTCAATTATACACGCACCTATTCATGCAAGCAGTCCAGCATAATTAACACGCCCTTCTGAGCGAAAAATCCTGCGAACTACATAATTTCATGCTTCATTACATCTCCCCTACTGGAACGTGCATAAAAATAAATAAAATAACAGCTCCAGAACAGACGACCACAAGAATTCGTCAATTATCTCATAAAATTAGCTCAAATTGACCAGAACAACACCGAGAATCCAATTCACTCGAACACCACAACCGAACCTACTCTCAAACCCCTAACACGTCGCACCAAACACAAACCAGCACAATTCTATGAAATCGACAGTCCAAACTCCCAGCACACCTAGCCGATGAACACAAATCGCATCTCGTTACGATCACCACGACATGGCGACCTCTCCGGTGCAACGAGAACCAGGGATAACGAAGGGGCCGGGGAAGAAAAGAATTTCTCCTACAAAGAATCCTAGATATGGAGTCGTGCTGCATAAGAACTCTTCCAACACCGCTGCTCTCTCTTGCTCCTGTGTCCGTGTCTGTGCTGTGTCTGTGTCGTTCTCTCTGTCTATGTCTCACACTCTCTCTCTCTCGCTCCTTCTCTCTCGCTCTCTCTCTCTCTCCGATGAATGTCTTCGTTTGTGCGAACTCCTCCTACTCACACACCTAATCATCGATCGAGACTAGGCCCGAGACTGTGATCACAATGGCCGAAACCATGGGTCCGAGCCGGGGTCTCCGAATTCGTCAAAGACTCATCTGGTCCATTTTAGGGTCCTTGCTCTTCCCATATTCCAACTGTCGCCCTGGTGCCGTCGGCGGGGACATCCCCTAGCCCTCCATGCGTATCTTCAGCTCCGTTGACGAGTCCACGACGAACGAACGAACGAACGAGCAGAGACGGCGGACGAAAAACTAGATCTCACGACGAACGGGTGGACGTCTTTGAGAGGATGATGAATGATTTGGATTGAGATTGTGGACGGATGTGTGTGAGGCTGGGTTGGACATTCTGTGCATCCAAAGCCACTCTGTAGGAATTGTAAAATATATTAGAGTTGGATTGAGGGATCACCGTTCAGTTGCTTGACATGTGGCTGACTTTTCTTCTGGTTTTATTTTTAAATTTTTTAGATTTAAAAAAAAGGGTGAGTCAAAAAATTGAGTGGATTGAACCATTGGTTGATTTCTATATGTCCTCGTTTTTTTTGTTGATATAAAAAAAGGATTTTAAAATTGACACATAGTAGGTTGTTGTGATGAGTTTTGTCCCATGGTCGTCCATCTTCCATCCATCACAACCTCAAGATTGTGGGTGTTGTGTCAACACCAAATCCATGATTATTTACCATCGAATGTTTCTAACCCAAATATAACTTGGCCAAAGTAGAAGGATAAATTATTTGTTATGTAGCATCCGATTGGACAATACTAGTGCATTCAAATTGCTTTCCTATTTTTAACAACTTTGGTTTTATTTTTGGTGTTGATGTTTCGCTCATTAAAAATTTACTACCATTTCAAATATAGTTCGAAGCATTTTCACACATAGTTAAAAAATAATAATAATATATAAGTAATATGTAAATTAATTATTTGGAGCACCAAATTATTAAAAGCAACTTTGAACTCATTTGGTATTTTGATTAAATTTTAAATATATACTATTTTATGAATTTTGAGTTAAAATTTATATATTAAGAAATGTTAATGATTATAAGGTAATGTCAAATCATATAAAATAATTTTTTTTTAACATATGATACATGTCGTATCCCTTAATCTCTCCATAGGCAAACTATTTCCACTCTCACTACCCTTGAGGCCCTTTTTAACTCTTTCTTCTAGTAACTTTGGCTGCCATTTCAAAAAGCCCCCTTTTTTTATGACAAGCCTCAATAATAATATTACTTCTTCCTACTCATCTAATTTCTCTACAAAAACTTCTTGAATTACTTTACATCCATTTTTCAGAAAGTACTTGCATTTATCAACAACTGAATTTAAAATAAAAAAATGAATATGTTTTTCAATCTCTTTCTTATTCAAATTCATGTATATATATATATATATATATATATATACATGTATGTTTTTCAAGAAAATTTATAAAGGGATCAAATATAAACTATAAAAATTTAAAATATAACTTTATTTTGTACCAGTTTCACTTTTCAAATCCATACATAATGAGTGATGGATTTGTCATGACACACCTGTTATATCATTTCAATGTCGAAATTGGAAATTATATCATCATGGACAACTTTTAAAAAGTTCACAACTGAAAAAATTAAACCATATTAAATAGAAATAAAATATTAATTAGATTATTTTTTAACTAGATTCGCAAATGATTATTATAATATATGTGTATATAATATTTTTGCAATACTAAATTAAATTTCATTTTATGCAGAATATTCAAAGAATATTAATTCAACCTCAATGTTTTTTTATTCTTTTATTTCAAAAATCATGTTCTGATTTTAAATATTGAAATGCATCTTAAAGATCAAGTTGGTGTGGTTTATTGATTTAAAAAACTTTGGTTCTATCACACAAGAACATCATAAATTATATTAATTAACTATATTCAATGTATGATAAGATACAAATATATATATATATATATATATAGATATATATTATTTTGTAAGCCAAAATTTAAAAATAAAAATAAAAACATGTAAATGATATACATACCTACACACACACACACACACACAGATATATATATATATATATATATATATATATCAAAACTGGATAATTGCCTTCGAATATACATAGTTTCATTTTTAAAATTATGACAAATGTTCTCACCCCTACAAAAACTGCTTCTATTCAATTTTTCAATGAAATAATTCCAGAGTCCAGTTATAGTTTAATGTTTAATCAGTATTTTTTAGAATTATCTGAGTAATTTTAGTTTCGAGTGTCAAAATGAAACACCAGGTTGTAAAATCATCATTTAAGATGTGTTAGTTCTAGGTCAAAATCAGTAGAGACAAAAAGACAATTGATAGTTAATATTTTGTATCTGACAGTAGAGTGCCTGCAAATCAATTCATCGACATCATGAGAATCTAATCAACCAAGTTTTGTGATAACATCAGTGATTCAGTTTACGGAAAAACTTAATTACTTCCTGATGCATGGACATCCCTAGTGTACAATTATATGATGAACTCAATTCGGCAACTACATTCTCTAATAGCTGAAAAACTAGAACAGACTCATGACCTATTCCGCTAAGTTGCAGATGAGAGAAGATCAGTACATACATATTTACACAGCAACAGAAATATATGTATAAAATAGAGGTACACTAATGAATATGCAAAAACACTGGTGCCGTTCCGTTGCTGCAGTGTCGCTGTATCGACATAGACATCGTCCGAGAACTGACGAAAGTTCTTATGACGATGTCGAGCTCTGAAAGTATTGGAAACGATTGAAATGATGTAATGATTTGAGACATTTAAGCGTCTGTGCTGGTGGTGGTCGTCACGTCCACATCTTTCACAAACTCCTTGTCATCGCTTTTGATGTCCTGCTCGGTCTCCTTCACTTCTTGTTGCAAATGAGCTGCTTTCTCTGCTTTACCGATGGCTTCTTCCTGGCGGCCCTGGATGGCAGACTTGTGTTCCTCAACCTGGACATCGACTTTTTGGAGCTGATCCTCGAGCTCAGCGTTCTTTGTGCGCAGAGATTCAACTTCCTCTTCCAACTCCGATATCCTGCTCTGCAAGGCGCTCGCCCTGTCATCGGCACCCTCGGCCTTCTGAACTGCCTCGTCACGCTCCAGACGCAAGTTCTTCAATTTTTCGCTCAATTCAGTGAGACGATCAGCATGATGCTTCAAGTCCTCGTCCTTAGCGGACAGAGCAGCCTCCTCCTCCTGGAGCTTGGCAGTTGCATCCTCGCCAGCAGCGGCCTTGGACTTAGCGGAATCCAATTCGGTGGCTAAGCACTTTTCTGCTTGATCCTTTTCCTTTACCTTCTCAGCCTCCGACTCAACATTTGCCTCAACAATGTCGAGCTCATGTTTTTTCTTGGCCGCCTCAGCCTCCTTGTCCTTTGCCTCTGCTTCTTTCTCCTCAGCTTCCGAAACTGCTCCCTTCATTTTGCTCTTCAAGCCATCGATGGTGTCCACCATCCCTCCTTTCTCTCTCTCAAGTTCCGTAGCCTCCTTACTTGCAGCTTCCTTCTTATCCGCTTCATTCATCATCTCAGATTCCAATCCTTTCTTATCAGCCTCCACCTCACCAACTTCTTTCTCAGTGACATTTATGATCTTCTCCAACTCGGCAATACGTTCAGCCAATACACGAGCATGACCTGCATTGGCGTCATACTTTTTCTTCAACTCTTCGATCTCGGACCGAAGGGCACCAGTCTTCTCCTTCTCGTTGGCGAGTGCATCAGCCAACATGTTCGAGCGTTCCACGGATTTCTTGAGCTCCTCCTTGTACTCGTCAGCAGAGGCCTCTGCTTTCTCCTTAGCCTCACCAACGTGCGAAAGCTTCGACTCTGCACTGTCAACCTTTGATTCAAGGTCGTTCTTGGCAGAGCCAAGCTCTGATGACTTCTCCTCAGCTGGAATTGCTCGTGATTTAAAGTGATCAAGCTGAAAATAGAGAAACACATGTTAGGACTCCTGCATCATCCTCTGGGCATACATGCGTTGGCACATCGCGAAGTAATCTCCCTTTGAGTTCAAATATATCTTTGACATGATAGGTTCTTTTGCAGCAGAGACAAAATCTTACCTTTTCAGAAAGGTCGGCGATCTTAGCTTCCTTCTTCTCGAGGAGACCATCCTTATCAACCAGATTCTGGCTCATGTCCTCTAATTTCATCTCCCTTTCTTGCAAACCTGTGTGCACGCCCTCCAAATCCTTCTCAAATTTCGTGTTCGTTTGCTCAATCTGCGCAAGCTTGTCTTGATATTCTTTCATCTTTTTCTCAGCCTCAGCATGCAATTCACTTGCCTTCTTCAATTGAAGCTCCAGCTCTGCGGCCTTAGCACCAGCAGCTTGAACCTCTCCCTCTAGATCTTTAACACGAGCATCCAGCTCAGATATCCTGTTCTTTGCCTCGCGAGAAACTTTGTTAGACTTCTCAGTCTCACCGTTGGCCATGGCAAGTGCCTCCTCGCAGTCCTTCAGGGACTTCTTGAGCTTCTCGTTTTCAGATTCTAAACTTGCAATTCTCTGATGCAGCATCACAAAGAACCAATTCATTACGTACATCCCATGAATGCAAGATGTAAACATCAAATCACTTCCTTCATATCAAAAACTAAAAGTATAAGAATAGCCACACAATAACAACAACAACGGATGCAAATCAATTGTTCAATCTAGTAGCGATTCATCGATCCTCTCAGCGATCAATCGCACGTCCAAAATCTCTGACATACAAATCACAGAAACGGGACAGAACATACCTCCTCAGCCTTCTTCCCAACGTCAGAGGGAATAACCACTTGCGCAGAGACAACAGAGCTGTTCTCCGGCCCACCTATTTTATCCTGCGTCTCTTTCGCCTGCGCTTCCAAATTCTGCTTTGCGAGGTTGACAGCGTCCACGTTCTTTTGTGACTCCATCGTTGACATCGTTTAGCCTCAAGTGAACAAAAAGAACACCACCACCTCTTCTCTCACTCAACCAACTCTTGAATCAAGCCAAGTGCTCCAATGTCAGGAACGACGATCACACTGGATGCTCGCCCAATGGTGATGAACAGGAAGATGCACTGATCCTCAACTCGAAGCCACGCACTACCGATCTCACTACCAATCTCGCCCTCAAAATTAGAAGTTAGCATACTCTGTGAAACAGGCAACGGCGGACCGAATTTTGTAGTAGGCTACGCAGAGGGAACGCTAATATAGTCCAGTGGCGCCGACTTTCGGAACACGCGTCGGGGTGAGACCCCAAGTGCCAGCTCAGACGTAGCCAAGGGTCTCCACGTAACACAAGGAGTCGTCCACGCTGGCACTGCACAGACCTTGTGTGCTTTGGTGTTGGAAATGATTCCCTGCAGAACGTAGTAGCTTTTACTTTTTGGTAGGAAGGGAGAACAGTATGCCAGCCAGCCAGCCAGCCAGCCTAATAAAGACTCGATTGTATTATAAAGTAATCAAGGTTAATCCTTGTATTCTACGATTAAAAAAAAAGGTCTTTAAAAGATACTTAGGAAAAACTAAAGTTGGAATGACTAAATTGCAAGTGCCCATGATTGTAATGAGAAGGACTCAGGAACTATAATGTTTGTTAGAAATTAGTTATTGTTTAGTGATTGCTGGTGTAAAAATTATTAGAAGCATATTAGACTTTAAAGTGATGATGTAGGATTTAAATAATTGTGTTTCAAAAAGGTTTTAAGGAGCCAATTTTGTAAATTTTTTGAGTGTGCTGTAAACAATGTTAATATTTTTTTATATGTTGCTACATTAATAATGTAATGTTAATTAATTTTATTAATTGCAAACATGACATGTCAAGAGGATAAATACACATTCATAAATATATATATATATATATATATATTTGCCACAATAAAATAAAAAACTAAAGATAATGGATAATGTGAAAGAAGTATTTTTAATCTAACAATTTTTTATTTTAGTTAAATATAAAATTCAATGTAGGTGGAAAGACTTGGTGCAAAATGAGGAGTAGAAGGCACCCATGTACAAATTTTCATTTAGATGATTAGAGTAGGTAATTGAGATATGCTAATAAGATATTTATGCTTAGGACAAAAGACACGTTGTCCCAAGGACATAAGTCCCACGTTGTTAGTTTCATACTTAGAAAAATCATCCTGAAGGTTGTAACCAAAAAAAAAAAAAAAAAAAAAAAAAAAATCATTTTTATTTCTTTTTCTTCCTACATGACATAAGCAGTGTTATTCCTTGGAATTTATATTAATTCCAGAAAAAAGAAAATGGATTTTTTTTAAAAAAAACCGTATAAAACACCACTAATTTGAAAACAAATAGAACAAAATAAAACAAAATATTTGCATTTTTTCATTTTTTTTCAAGTTATCAAGAGAATTTTATTACATAGGGATATTTATGAGATCAAGATTTATCTCAATTTTAAAATTTAATCTAAGATTCTCTTTAATTTAATTAATTTTAATAGGCATATTCTACCATGTGTATATGAAGTTCAAATTTATACAGTAAAGAAAAAATGTTATATTTTTAACTCTTAACGATAAAACAAAATTATAATAGTATGGATTTGAAACAATTAAAAGAGAAATATTCTTTTGACTGATATAGTTGTAGAAATATATTTATGTAAAGAAATGATATATATTCTATTATTGCAACAGAAATTTTATTTTTTAAGAATTTAAACAATGAAGTAAACGAAGTTTGAGATATTATTCTATAAAACAACGTAAAACAGGTTGTTTAGCTGCAAAAGAGAAGCTACAGGCTCAATCAAAGATTGTAGAAGTTACAAACAAGAATAATAAATTATTTTTTAAATATTATTTAAATAGATGAATAAATTTATAATTTAAAAATAAGACATGTATTATTTTTTTACGATTTATATATTACAAATAAAAAATGGATAGTAGTTGAATTTGTACAATGCAAAAATCATTGGCAAAAATAGTAGGATAGTAGTCAATTAATTACGAAATAAGAATTTGTAGATAAAATTTTAAAGCTGAAGAACATAAATTCTTAATGTATATAATATACTTTTAAAATTCACACTTAAAAAGAGCTATTTATTCCAAAAAAAAATTAGTCAATTATTTGTTTATTTCTTTCTCTTTTCCTCAAAATATTACAAGATAAATGAAATTTCCTCCCAAAAACTTGCATAGACTTAAAAGTCACTACTTAATTTTTATTAGAATAAAAGCCTATAATAAAATTAATAAATATTATATTTTATTCTAGTAATTTGAGTAATATAGAAGAATTACTTCAATTTTTTTAATATAGCTACTATAGAATAATCCATATGTTTTTTTTAATAAACCACTACTTTTTTGAAAATTTAAGAATTCTTCCTATTTACTTTTATATTTATCATTTAATTAGATTTTATTTGATACAATAAGTTGATATAAATTTACTTTATTCACTACACCTCATAATCTCAAAGTAATATACATTTTAATATTATTCTTTGATACCTTGGTTGTATTAGTTATAATTTTATTGTTTTTACATGTTTTGGCAAAATTTTGATATTTATTTGAAAAAAAGACTTATAATGAATAATATTTTTTTGATTTATTTTTTAAGTTTTTAATATCTTTTTTATATATTAAACCTAAAATATTCTTTGATTTAGTAATAAAAAATATTATTATAAAATATTATGATAAATTCATATTTATTTTTTGAATTACCTATAAATTCTAAAAAATAAATAGTAGTAAATAATAATTTAAAATAAAAAAATAAAAAAAATGAGATGTATCCTATAAGTTATAAATATTACAAATAGCATTAGTTATTTTTATTTTCAACTTCAATGAAAATGCAACCATGTAACTACAAGGCTACAATTGTGGTGCCAATAAATCATACATTAAGGTTAAATGTACCTCACAATTTTGAATCCTAAGGAAAAATCCATTCTTGTGGTTGTGAAGGATATACATTGGATTCCAAGACCACATGATATACTCCAATTAATTGCAACCTTGTACAAGAAAGGTTGTAAATTTAGCTTAGATGTCAATAGGGTTAGCTGAGTTTTTTTCTTTAGATGACTTACTTATGCAAGGCACACTTAATAGAAAAGCTTATCTTATGCCTTGTAAAATTAAAGAAGTTTTTGTAATTTCTAGTTAATCTATTTTTAATTATATCTTTATTGAATGATATCAAGTATTAGCATATGCTTTGATGCTTATAATATAAGAGGCAAAGAGAGTGAATAGTAATAAAAAATTGAAGATTAAAGATGAAAATGATAAGGTATTTACATGTGAATTGTGCATTGTTGGTAAGGCCTATAAGTAGCTTGATCTACACAATCATGAGGATGCCAATAATATTTTAGATGCAATAGTATTTAATCCTAGTTATTTTGATATAATTAGTTTTTTAGGTATCAAATAATTAGCTATGTAGATTCATAAATACTTTGGTTATTGTAGCTTTGTATCTCATTAGACTAAAAACTAGGTGCATATTGCTTATAAGACTTGGAAAATAAAGATACAAAAAAAATAGAATCAAAATTAAAACTTATTTCATTGATGAAGGCACAAAGTTTTTGAATTATAAGTATGTATCATATTTCCAAAATGAAGGCATTTGACACATAGTTACTCTTATGTATACAAGTGAGATTGTCAATATGGCAGAGCATATGATGAGCACCATCTTTAAAGAAGTACAAACACTCTTAGATAATGTCAAGCTAGATTGTGAATATTGGCCATTTGCTACCAAATTTGTAACATGGACTTATAATCTCCTTCAATTTGTAAGATTTGGTGGTAAGTTACCACTTAAAGTTTTATATGGTGAAAATTTTTTTATTTAATATATTCATTATTTTAGTTATTATACTTGATATGACATACCAATATATATATATATATATATATATATATATATATATATATATATCATATGATTTTTGCAAATACAAAGAAGGTTATGAGATTTTTTTTTTTGGTAAGAAGAAGATGATTTTTAATTAAGATATGATTTTCTTTGATAGAAAAGATGAATTTCTTGGTAAGCCATTCATTTTTTAAGAAAAGATAGAAAAAGATATAAATCATAGAAACAAGCTTGATTTATTTTATTTTTAATATTAAAATAATAAATTACTTATTTAAAATAATAAAGATAATAAGAAAAAATCAAATGTAAACATATACAATCTATACATATTTCACTACTTCAAAAGTTACATCCATAGAAGAAATCTCTAACTCATAACTTTATTAATGCTACATCCAAGGTGCAATATCCTTCTGCTATGCTTACTTTTGCATTACAAAATTTTCCTTATACATTACCTCCAATTCTAAATTTGTCCAAGACTATATGATATTGGGCCTTCTAAAGCAAAATAATCTTAAATTTGATTCTATATTTTAGCATTTACATTCACATATTGCAAGTGATTCATACTTAAAGGCTCTTTGTATACCTTGACCTAGGAAGTCAGAGCCTCTTTGAGCTTATAACTAAGGCCAATTTTAGATCTTTGCAAATACATTAATATTTAAAAAAATATAAGCCACTATCAACAATCTCCACTTCAACTTGTATTTTATCTATTTAGCAAAGTTTTTAAGATAGATTCTTTAATATTTTATTATATTATTTAAGTTCAAATAAAAATTAAGTTTTTCAATAAATATCATCAATATTTTTTCAGATATCAATTATCTAAAATAAAATCTTATTATTAGTAATAAAATCTTTGATATAATAATATTTTACATTAGTACGTTTAATCTTAGCACAAAATTTTAAATTCTTTGTAAAATAAATTATACTATGGCTTTTACAAAAAACTTAATTATTCTCTTAAAATTAGAAAAAAAACTCTCTTAATATAGTTCTTTTGAAATAAACTTAACTTGCGATCATATTGGTTCCTTATAATTTCTACACGCAAGACTTTTTTGGTAGAGCCAAAATCCTACATCTCAAACTTTCTATTAAGTTGAACTTTTAGCTTGTAAATTTTTGTCATTCTCTTTGCTATAATCAACCTATCATCAACATATAATATCAAAACCATGTATCCAAAAATAGCCACCTTTTCTAGTTATTTGAAGTAGATACAATTATCATAATTGCTCCTAGTATAATATTTTTTAATTATGAGCATATCAAATTCTTTGTTCCATT